AAGTGATACTTAAAGTGTATTTATCTATAGCCTCATTACTCAAAGAATTGCTTTTGTTTTTCCATATGTCCCTCCCTTCTCTCCACATTAGGGATACTGGCAAACTAACTGAGGGGTCAACGCCAGCCCACCATCTGTTTTTATAAATAAAGTTTTATTGGAAAACAATCACTGTCATTCATTTCCATGTTGCCTGTGACTGCTCCAAGGACACAGTGGCAGAGCCGCACACACACTGTGTGTGTCATTCTAATACAAACATGTACAGCTCGTGTCCTGCTTGGCTCCCTTAGCCTTCCCTACACATTTGGAAATGAAATAAAAATGGTCTGGATTTGCATAATTATTTCAATGAATAGATTCAGAGGCCAAATCTCAGACGTCTCTCTCCTGGGTCCTAGTTTCCCACCCAAGCTTGTTCGTTCCAATGGGAAATAAGCTTGTTAGATCCAATGGGAGCCAAAGGAAACGACTGGTGTCCTGCGAGTATCTCAAAGAGGACTATTGATCCCCAAATAGTATTACATTAAACCCTTTCACTCTTTCATCACCTCGCTTCTTCTTTTTTCTTAAACATTTATTTTTATTTATTTCAGAGAGGAAAGGAGAGAGAGATAGAAACATCAATGATGAGAGAGAATCATTGATTGGCTGCCTCCTGTACGCCCCCTATTGGGGATCGAGCCCACAACCAAGGCATGTGCCCTTGACCTGAATCAAACCTGGGACCTTTCAGTCCACAGGCTGATGCTCTATCCACTGAGCCAAACCAGCTAGGGCATCACCTCACTTCTTACCATTCACTTCCACCCATGAGCTCCAGCTGCTCCAGATTCTCTGCTGGGAGGCCCAGGCATCATCCTCCTTCCCCCGTATCCTTACAAAGTGCGTCGCACATTCCAGAGGCAGCTCGGATTCCCATGTCCAGTGCAGGGTCTGGTTCTGCTGCACAGTGGTGCTATAGTTCTCCTGGAAGTCAAGAGAAACAGTTGGGAACGCAGCCATGCTGTCCTGGAAAAGGGCTTGCCTGGACTTATCCCAGAGCACACACCCCCTGCAACTCCATAGCATGAGCCAGGACCCGCCATCCTTCCCAGCCGGCTCCCGGCTCCCCGTGCTCCGACGACTCAGAGAGGAACTGGCCAGAGCCTCTTGCTTCTCACAGACTCAGCTCCCACCGCTCTGGGTCTCCAATTCCAGGGCGTCCGAGTGGAGCAAGTGAAAGGAAATGGAAGCAACTCATTCTTAAGGGAAGAGACCAGAGATGAAGGTGCTCAAAGTGCTGGTCACACAGTACCTGCTAAGAAAAGTCTTGCCAGCTAGTAGAGAATTACTTGAGTCCTGCTTTTAAAAGTAAGCAAGATCGATGGGTATGATGTTATGTTCATTTTTAGCCAGGGCTTGATCAGGTCAGACAAGTCTCAGTAGAGAAAGCCATTCTCATGGTGCTGGGAGTTCAAAGGTCTCCCAGAGGTCAACAGATGGCTCCCCATGTCTCCCTTAGTTTTTTTGTCTCTTCTCTTCTCAGAGACGGTGGCCACAGGGACCATATCCCCTCCCTCAAGCTCCATCTGTCAGAATCTTAGTTCCCAGAGATGTCAACCACCCAGGACTGGCTCATACCGTTCCCTGGGAAGCTCGTCCATGCAGAACTGCAGTTTGGTCATCCTGTACAGCTTTAGTCTTCAACTTCCTAAGACACTGGGACTTTATTCTCTAACTAGAGGCCCAGTGCATGAAAATTCATGCACTGGAGGGGGGTCCCTCAGCCTGGCCTGCCCTCTCTCACAGTCCAGGAGCCCTCGGGGGCAGGAGGCGACCTGGCGATCAGGGGAAGGCAATGCCCCATAACACTTCTGCTGCTGCCACTGCTGGCAGCGCAAGCCTTGGCCGGCCCTGGTTACCTAAGCCTCAGGCGGCCCTGGACAGCTGGGCAGCCATAATCTGAGGCTTGCCTGCACCTCAGGCCAGCCCTGGTTACCTGAGCCTCGGGCGGTCCTGGGTGGCTGGGGGGCTGAGGGTACTGGGGGTCTCCGAAGGCAGGCACACAGAGCGGCACCCTCCATCTTTGAGGGCGTGGCAGTCAATTAGCATATTCCCTCCTTATTG